GTACAGGCAAACCAACAGACAACACTTGAGTAAAGATTATAAGATAGGCAAAAATAATATTGGCAACCACACCAGCTGAAACCACAATTATTCTATCCAATATTGGCCTGTTTTTAAGCAGATTCTTATCATCAACTGGAATGTCACTATCTGGATCATTATCTGGAAACCCCACAAAACCACCTAAGGGAAAAGCTCTAAGAGAATACTCCACATTGTTTGCATTGAATTTAGCTAAAATTGGACCAAAACCAACTGCAAATTTACTTACATGGATGCCTTGGAGATAAGCAGCAAGGAAGTGACCACTCTCGTGAACAACAATTATGGCCGTTAGCACAGAAGCCGCCTCCAAAACCGACTGAGCACTCTCAAAGTTGCCATGGTCGAACCCAGGAATCGCACAAGTCCTAAACTTGACCTTTTCCCACGTGGGTACCTGCCATTTTCGATGAAAAATCGATCCTTGCACTGAAAACCGACGTCTGGAGAAGAGAAAGAGTAGCAAATGGAAGAAGACGGAGGTTTTGGAAGGTGGGTTTTGGGTTTTGATGGAAAACCTGAGATGGAGGATTTGGAATTGGACAACTTGATGAGAGAGAACGAAGAAGAGGAGGGTAGAGAAGCTGAGAGGTTAACGATCATGGTTCTTTTTTTCGGTGGTTTTCTGATAGGGGCTGTTAAAAAGGTGAGGTTTGGTTTTGTGATGGAGGAGGGATTGGATAATTCATAATCTCCTGCCTTTTTTGGGTTTTGTGGAGGGGAACTCAACTCACTCATTTGTCTTCCCTCCCTCTTATTTTTCAGCATTCGGGTGGCGTTCTCTCTGCAATTTTTTTTGTTTTTGGGTCGAAGTTTCTGTGCTTTTTAGATGGGCCTTCGGCCCTTGTGCTCCATAAAAAAGAAGGGTTAATTAGATTTAAACGCTTAAAATTTAAATTTCTTTTATTAAACATCCATACCTTTTAGAATTTTGATCAACATGCTTTGGCAGGCCACATCAGTATTTCTATTTTGTTTTATCCGGCCATTTTTTTATTCATGTATTTTAGGAGTTGTGGACTCTTTTTTAGGAGATAATTCTGGTTTTTTTCCTCAACATATTTATCCAATTATCTCTTTTAATTTTTGTTTTCGTTCAAAACATTTTTTTATCCTAAAATTGAAATGATGGACGCTTAGATTTTTTTGTTTGTTTATTATTTAGTATACTTTTTGTTAGATAATTATTTTGTATACGTTTGAATTTGTACATATTGTTGATTAGTGATAATGGTATATTTATTGTTGGTTATCATATATTCGTTTTGTATTGATTGGTACGTTTATTTTTAATTTTTGGGTGTACATATCGTTGATTGGTACGTTTAGTTTTAGCTTTTGGTACGTTTAGTTTTAGCTTCCACTACATTTAGTTTTGTTCTCGTTGATTGATAGGTTTTTTTTCACGATTTTGTTACGATTGTTTTTGTATACATTATGGATTGTACCATTTAGTATCATATGAGTACGATTAACATTATACATATCGTTGATTGGTACATTTACTTTTGTTGTTCAACGTTGTTTACTAGTACATTTATTTCCGGTTTTAGTAGGTTTGTTTTCATGCATTTATTTTTTATTGGTACGTTTGGATTATTCTCGATGTTATTTTCTTATATGAAGTACTACAAAAAATTATATATGGATTACTACAAATATCTTAAATGATATTTTATTTCTTCATTGAAAGGAAAATAAATAAATAAATCAAACGGCAGGGTATTTTATTCCTTAATAAATTGTATATAATCATTTTTTTCTCTATAATTATCTTTAGAGGGAATCAAAGGAGCTAGAGTGTAGGAATTTGTTTCAATATCTCTGCAATTTTTTTCCCTGACGTGAAGAATTTAGGCAGTGGTAAGATCTGTAATTTTGGTACAAATAAAGGATATTTATGATAGATGAGACTCCAAATTTGTAGGAAAAATGTTTAATTAAATCTCTAAAACCAAAAAACGTTTAGTCTATAGAGTTGAAAATTCAGGCACTTATATCAAAAAGCCCCTAGAAAGAAGGATGTGTGATCCAATTTGATTAAACTCGTGTAACCTCTTTCTACATCCTATTTAAATTTTAAATGTGAATTGTCTTTTTTACTCTATTGTATAATTAGCATAATGTACAAAATGAAAACTAATAATAAAACTAAAATTGATCAATAAACACACACTCAATAATTAAACATTTACCATCATGCAATTCTTTTCTAACGTTCTATTTGGCTAAAATTGTAAGAAAAGAGCAAGTTCTTTTCTGCGAATGGATGGTGACCTGGAGTTTTGAATCCTCCAACTAAGGTATGAATTGATTTATATAAACGAATGAACCCTCTTCCACCTTTGAAGCCTAGTGGGGCAAATAAGTAGTTTTAACATGCCCTAGTTCGTTCTATATATAAACGAATGAACTCATTTCAACTAAGAGCTGGTTGTGGTTGGCAAAAAATGTGAAGTGGATGGCTTCATTATGGATGAATCAATCTCGTAGCCTTATCGCAGCAGCACCAGATTTAAACAGCTAACTTCGGTTGCATTTCCACGACTTCTACAGATAATCGTTGGTCCTACGGCAGTAGGAGTTAAAACCTACGAGAAACTAACTAGTCTAATAGCTATAATGACTCATAAGTCAAGTTGGACTGCTCAATCTTCCCGTTCCATAACCAAATTGCTCATAAAAGCATCAGAAAGTGACCAAAAATGGTGTTATCAAGCTTTTCCAACATGGTAATCACGCACTCCTTTACTTAGCCTCAGAAGATCAAGCTTTTCCAACATGGTAATAGCATAAAGGGTGGCTTTATGTCATTCTCCTGTAAACCTAAACGATAAATTAATTCTCACCAATTCTTATTAATTTCGATTCTATTAAATCATGAAGAATTAAAAGGGAAGACGACGGGCTTGTTGGAGGAGAGAATGTGAGAAGAGAAAACTAAATTTACATATTGAATTAGATTTGTGAGGGTAGTCTAGATAGTAAATTAGGGTTTAAAGAGATATTAATAGTTTGATTAAAAATAAGATGGGTGTATATAATAAATTGCGTGTAAAGAGAGGTTATATGAGTTCAAATAAAATTACCCTTATGCATTTGTCATGTGTAAAATCTTTCTCTAATTATATGAAATACTTGATTCACAGTCGAGGATATTAAACGCTAAACTATTTGATTATAAGAGAGTAATTAGAGATATAGACATATCAATGCATAAAACTAAAGTTTTTTTATTTTGCAAGACAATATTTTAAATTTGTCGAGCAATTGAACTTCAGTGAAAAGAGGCAGACATACTACCCTAAAAACTAGTTAGTGTTATGTAGATTAGATACTACTGTTTATTTTTTTTAAATTAAAATTGGAAGTTAAAAAATGGTAGGAGGTAACCGAATTAAAACCCACTCCAGATTTCTTTGTCTCAACCTCACCGATCAAGAGATTTAGACCACTCAACTTTAATCATACAGTTCGTATTAGCTCATCTCACTGGCTCAATTCATAAAAACTAAAAAAACTTGAACTGTCTGTATCTCTCTATCTTTTGAACGGTGAAAATATCTCGGTCCGCAGAGTCTCGACACAAAGATCCAGAGTCGATCTTTTTGAGAAGGTAACCAATTAAAAAGGGTCCCACCACTCCACTTTTGTTTATCCAGGTCCCACCACTCGTAACCCTCTCCTCTGTATTCTTCATCGATGTAGCCCTCCATCTCCCAACTCCCTCATCTACTTCCACCATGACCAAGTCATCTGCTATCAAAATGTGATGGTCTCAAATCCCACTAATCTCTTCTAATTGTAAAAAAGTCAAACTTGTAATTGCATATATTTGAATCAATGAGAATCCCCAGGCCTTAAGCTCATATGCTGCCACGACAATCGGTTTAGCAAATTAAATGTTGGTTTAATTAATTTTCATGTGGGGTTTTATAATTTACAACTTTAAGATCTTGGGTTTCTGTTGGACAGTCCAATTTCAAGGCTTTCTCTTGAGAAACTGGGGACATTTGATTTACATATATCTCGACATTTAAATTTATCTAATAGTAGTAACTAGTAAGTAAGTTGCTAAAAATTATCACCACTTGAGAATAGTGGGCAAAAATACACCTAAAGTCAATAGGAAAATGTTGTAACCTGTTACCTGCCATTGCCCTTCGTTTATCATATTTATTTGGATTTTTAGCACAAATGGTTCTTGAAATTAACTCACTGGGCCACTCCGTCAAAATGATCCCTAAAATTAAGTGTCGCAAATCAATGTAATTATTTCGTCATAATTCCATCAAAAATTATATTATGTGATGATGTGACATATACATGGATCCCATAAATTTAATTAAGGGCAAAAGACTGTTTACTACCCTCATGTTTCATGGTTTTCAACATTTAGTACATCAATTTTTTTTTCGTCCCAAAGTCATACCTAAAGTGTAAATTTTGGGACAGTTTCATACATCCGTTAGTCAAACTGTTAATTCTCCCGTTAAGTGATGGCGTGGCGCTCATGTGGACAATGACTAGGCGCCACGTGTCATTAAAAATATTAAATTATGGGTAAATTACATAGTAGCCCCTCAGGTTTGTGGTCTATTACAACCTCATACAACAACTTTAAAACATTTCACTTTCATACCTCCAGTACCATTTTATTTCAAAATAACACCTCCGTTAGATTTTCCATCCATTAGTCTGTTAAATGTTGACGTGGCTGCCACATTTGTGCTGATGTGGCTACCACGTAGCAAAAAAATAATTTTTTATTTTTTTTAAAAAAAAAAACCTAAATCTTCTAAATATTAAAATTAAAAAAATTAAAAAAAACTAGAAAAACCTTTCCTTTGTCTCCCCTCCTTCCCCCCCATCCTTCTGCAACTCCCAAAATCCTCTATTCTCCCCGCAACCCCCAAACCCATATCCCCCATCTTCATCTTCTTCCCTGCAACCCAGAAATGATAACCCCTCCCCCACCCCACCCCACCCCACCCGCGTCCCCCACCACAAAACCAGAAACCCAGAACACCCCCACCCCCCCACCCGCGACCCTCCCTCCCTCCCTCCGCACCCACCCTATTTCCTTCTCTACACACCCCCACCCTTTTTCACTCACTCAAATTCACCAGGGCTTAGCCAAAGATGATGAAACCCTCTCGCAGTTGCAGACCCCTCCTGCCACCACCGAAATTCCCATCCAGTCCTCGAATGCCCTAATTCCCATCACCCTTCACTTACCGCAATCCACCGCAGCCATCAAAATTCAATCGGCCTACCGGGCCCACCTCATCCGCACCCACTTCAAAACAATCGTAGCCGTCCACTCTGAGGCCGATGAGTTCCAGCGCCTAATCCAACGGCAAGAAACTGTTGATTCCGTCAGGACAAGCAAGCGCGAGAAGCTAAGGATGAACGAGTCCCTGATGTGGCTGCTGTTGAAGCTGGACTCGGACCTCGCGGTGAGGGAAGCGAGGAGAAAGGTGAGCCGTCGGATCGTGGACGCAATCGTATCAGAAGACGTGGATGGCTTATGGGGTGGCAGAGACGGTGGGTTTGGGAGGAACTGGGACGACGTCCTTGCGGAGATGAAGGATGAGGCGTGCAGGGACAAAAGATGGGAAGAGATGGAGAGGTTTTGCGCTCAGTATATGGGGTTTTTCTAGTTTTTTTTTTTTTAAATTTTAATATTTAGAAGACAGGGAGGGGGTTGGGGTGGGGAAGACGACAGGGTTTTTTTTTTTTTTTTTTTTAATAAATTTAATTTAATAATAATAATAATTTAATATTTTTAATAACACGTGGCACCCAATCATTGTCCACATGGGCACCACGTCATCACTTAATGGGAGAATTAACAGTTTGACTAACGGATGTATAAAACTGTCCCAAAATTTACACTTTAGGTATGACTCTGGGACGAAAAAAAATTGATGTACTAAATGTTGAAAACTATGAAACATGAGGGTAGTAAATAGTCTTTTGCCCTTTAATTAAATATTATATGTGAACTAAAAATATTTAAATAAAAAACAATTTTTATTTTTATAATTAAAAAAAAAAAGGAAGACTCACCACCTAATCAGTAAAAAAAATGGAGAGCTTCAAAGCAGCCTCAACAAACCCAGTTGTCCTTATTTCAGGTCTCTCTCTCATTCTCTCCTTTGTTTACCGAATCGCAACCCGCCTCGCCTCCAACTTCCACCGCCAAACACTTTGATTGATGGGTGTTCACTCCGAACCAATCCTGCTGCCTTTTTAGGCAAATTGAGTGCCTTGATGAGGTTTAATTTCTCATCCTTTATGCGATCATCCCCATTCTCAACCCTAATTTTTCTTCTTTCTGGGCGAGCAATTGCAACGGAACAGATTGCATTGAATTCGACGAGCCAGTACTGTGTCGCTAATGAAGAAGCAGAGGTAGAAGGAGACATAAAACTTAGGAACAGCAGACCTGCTGCCGATGAACAGTGTTCAATGATTCCTTCTTTTTTTTTTTTTTTAGATTTTAATTATAAAAAAATAATTTTTGTTTTTATTATTTAAATATTTTTTATTCACATAATAATATTTAATTAAATTTATGGGACATATTTATATGCCACATCACATTAGCACTTAATAGAATTTTTAACAAAATTGTGACAAAATGATTATATTGAATTGCAACAGCTATTTTCAAGAACTACATTGATTGATTTTCAATTTCAGGAATCATCTTGATTAAATGACCCTATTTATTTTATGATAAGTTTCATTTGATGGTAGCGGACCCTAAAACTAAGACCTAATTTGGGAGTGGGGTGCTTAAAAAAAAAGCACCCATGAAAAAAAGCTGTGAGGGTTTTAGGTGTTTGGTAAACTGAAAAAAAAAGGCTTATTTTGGAAGCTGCTGTGAGAATAAGCTGAAATCAAAGGAAAAAGCTAAAGCTGCTATTTGCAGCTTTGGAAAACTGGTTTTTTTTCAAAGCACACGGAGCTACAGCGCTTCTTTAATGAAAAGACCCACTATTAGACTGTTTTTTTTCTTCCAAAAGCACTTTTACAAAAAAGTTTACCAAACACTCTACTGATTTATTTCACAGCCGCTTATTCTCACAGCACAGCCGCTTATTCTCACAGCAGCTTTTTTTCAAAGCACAGCAATACCAAACCAGCCCTAAGTTGACTCCCCATGGCTTATTTGGCCCACTTGAGGTTTGATGGCATGAGGGTTTAAGATCATGTCTCCTTCATATATTGGTTTGACGGAGGCCCTTAAGAAAAGGAATCTTCATTTTTATTTTTTAAATAAGAATTAGTTGTGGGAATTATATCACAACGAACTTCAACAATTCAAATCGTTTATTTTTTAAGTTGGACCTCGTAGATCATTCTTACAAAATATTAGCCAATTTGGAAATATGTGAGACATTTAATTGAGTTCAAATAAATTGACGAACACATTATTCTATAAGAGACAATGAAATTTCATCGTAATAATTAAATAGACAAATTGTTTCGGATTAAATTGAATTTTTGCAAGGATGATCTATGTAACATCTCACATCGCCCAGCGGAGTGATCCTTAAATGTATATTCTCATCCCTACCTAGCATGAGGCCTTTTGGGAGCTCACTGGCTTCGGGTTCCGTAGAAACTCCAAAGTTAAGTGAGAAGAAGGCCAGAGTACTCCCAGGATTGGTGACCCACTGGAAAGTTGCTCGTGAGTTCCCAAAAACAAAACCGTGAGGGAATGGTAAGCCCAAAGCGGAAAATATCGTGCTACGGTGGTGGAACGGGCCCGGGAAGTGATCCGCCCCGGGCCGGGATGTGACAATCTATGAGTATGTAATAAATTTAGAATTACGACATCTGTATATGTGTCACACTATAATTTTCAAGTAATAAAAATGATTCATTATATGTATAGAATCAAGATGCGTTCTACTTCTACATTATAATATCATGATAATAATCACAAAAATGTGTAAACTACATAAATAAAAGTATAAGTATTCTTAATTAATTATCTAGGTAGGTCATCATTACCAATTTATTGACCAACTTGATGGATCAAACACAAAATCTAGCAAAAGATTAAAAAAAGTAGAAGATGTTTTGTTTGGAATGAACAAGACTAACAAGACGGCTACAACAAAAGGATTTTTGCTTGCAAAAGTTAGCATTCCGAAAGGAAGAAACTACTGTTTGGCTTTACAAATGGCACTTTGAAAATAACAATATTTGGCTACTTAAAAATGAGTAGGGACTCCTACTCAAAAATTTTCAAAATTATTTGTTGACAATTTATAGAACCTCATGTTTTATAATCAGATCCGTTCATATTATAAATCACCCTATAAAAACCGACTCTGCAAAAAATAATTAAAACTAAGATCGTTTAATCATCAAATTGTTTAAAAACAAATACACGGTATTAGTAAAAGCATTACACATTGTCTATGTATTTGCTACAATAGATTGACTAAACGACCTTAGTTTTTTTCTTCTTTTTTTTTTAAATTTTTTTGCAAAGATGATCTTTACAGTGTGATTCATAATATGAATGATTTTGATCACAAGCACAAAGCTCTATGATTAAAACATTAAAAAAAATTAAGTATGAATTCTTACTCATTTTTAAGTAATCAAGTATTATTCCTTTGAAAATTGTCACACAAATTATTAAGGACCCTGCTGAAAGTGAAAAATTAAAATTAAAAAGGTTAAAAAATTAGTAAAGATGGCCATGGTTTTCGCCCAAATCCCAACGTATCTGCCAAGCGGGACTCGGGGCAAATGGGGCAGAGAAAAGTACCAAATCATCGATAATTAAAAGATGGACATGGGTCCTTGCAAACAGCCCCATATATGGCTCGTGGATTTGGATCCTCTCCGAGGTAAATGGTCGGAATCATTTTGATCAGTGTTCGTGAACCGTTAAATTTTTATCTAACGGCTATAAACATGAGACCCTATAAAAATTATAATAATTGTAACCGTTGAATAAAATTTTAACGGTCCACAAATACTGATCAAAAGGATCCGACCAATTACCTTGGAGAGGATCCAAATCCCTGGCTTGTATCTTCTTCACGAAGGGCCCTTCTACCAGCAACTAATGCTATTGATGATGTTTCTCTGACATCAATACATGGCCAAACATTACTGCTACTGGGGAGATAATTTTTTCATTTTTCATGTCCAACTACCCAATTTTTTACCGCCGATATTTAGTTCATATTATTGATACTATATTTTGATACTTTAAAATGTTTATGTGTAAAATTCTATATGAAAAGCAAATGAAGACGTGATATCATCTTATTTAAGTAACATGACCTAAGTTCCTTGATTTGGGGAGAAGGTCCCGGATACGAGTAGTTGCATTGCGGCATCTTTCTGTCCAAGACACGCCCATAGGAGACCCTTCATTAAGGTCTATCAAAGTGTGCCCATGTGAGATCTAAATGCTAGAGTCTTGTCTGTGTGTCTTGGGTGGGCAGGTCATGTGACACAATTGTCATACTCATTACTTCTCCTAGTATTGACTCTTCAAATCTTTGCTTTTTCTTTTCTTTTCATTATAAAGGTTTATGGATACATGTAAAGTGAAAGTACCACTAGTTCACAGTGCCTTTTGTTTCAATATTAGTGATTAGAGGGTTAAAAATGAAAATGATGGTTAGGGTTAAAAATGAAAATGATCGTTTGAAGGCATATCAAGAAGAATGATTGTATGACATAGGTACACCATCAATGAAATAAAGATAAAAATATGTTTAAGTTTTAGTCCACATATTTTTGTTTTATTGAGAAGGGACACCACATGCTTGTGTACTCATATCATGTAAATTGTTCTACATATCAAGAGGCTATAGTAAAAGTTTTATAATGATGAATTGAAAAGTAGGTCAAAATTTTGGATCATATCACATAATAAGATGATATCTAGGAAGGAGTGCCAAACAGGCCAATTCGAATTATATTGGTCGGTTTGGTTTAGTTTTGACCAAGAAAAAAGTAAGACAATTTAAAAACCGAACTGAACCGATTTTACTTTTGATTTGGTTTGGTTTTGATAGTTTTGAAATCGACCAAAACCTATTAACTCAGGGTTCTTTCCAAATTGCCTATTAGCAACTAGGCCGAGCATGGTACTTTCTGACCGCCGAGATGCAAGTTGATGCACTGACAACTTTATGGTACAAGGTCTCAAAAACAAAAGGTTGGCCTATTCAAACATCAATTCCAGGCCACATGGCGGCTAACCAAGAGAGCAAAACCCAATGATAGGACATAAAGGCTAATAGGTAGGGCGCTTGGGTGCGGGTTTCCACCAACTCTAGAGCCGAGCATGGTGCTTGATATGCGTTGTCCCATGAAAGCATGCAAGTGGGCTTGCGCAAATGCAAAGGTCGTGAAAGACTTGAGCCCAGGGACCTGAGGCTCATTAAGAGCCTATAGAAAGAGCACAAGTACTCCTTAGAAGGGGTTGAATGAATTGAGAGAGAAAATATATTGTGTTGAGCCAAACGTTGTTTGTAACTCTATATTCAATATATTCAAGAGACTTATGTATGCAGCCCAATTTTGAGGAGTGAACCACTTAAATTATGTTGTCAATTCCATATTACTTGCAAACCTTGAACCCACCAAGGGCCGACACACGACCATCCTGATTTTTGTTGACCTCACCAGTTTTGAGCGTTAACAAAACCAATCTGGACCAATTAATGATGTATCTTTTAATTATTAATTTATTTGTTTTATAATGTCAACTAATTATAGGTTATTTAGAGGTTTTACCGTACACATATTATTAGTTGTAATGACCATTAATAATTAAAATTTCATATGTTTTTTTATTCTTATGTGGATGTTTAGAAAATTAAAACTGTTCAAATATTGACCCTTTTTTATTAATGTATTCAATAGGCTTTAAACCGACCGAACCAAATCAATTTTCAGTGGTTTAGTTTGATCCGGTTTTAATAATGGTATTAAACCGAACCGTTTCTTTTTTATGTAGATATCTACCAGTAAAATTTTTACAACTATGCAATCGAATCGAAGTATAAGATATTGTATCACCATATTATATTGTATCAATAATATGGTGAGTATGTCGGTAGTTATCGATATATGGTAAATTGAGAAAGACCACATGAAAAGAAACAGCGAAAGTAAATTAGTCCTTCCATAAACATGAAATTAGCCTCCAACACATTTTATTACACGTACACATCTGATGTGATCATAGTAAAAGCACGAAAACTCAACAGACAATAATTTCTCAAAATATTATAAACAAGTAAATAAAAAGGTTAGGTTTTCCAACCAATTTGTCTGGTAACAAATTGAGAAAACTCATATGTACACTCTTTCTTTCATTCATTACTTAAAGATAAAGATCATACACATACAATTACATATACAAACAAGTAAATCACAACACACTCTTTTTTCTTTTTCTTTTTTTTTGATATATGTTATATAAACAAGGAAACATATATGATCGGCTAAATGAAAGTTTCTTTCCATAAACCACACGTATAACTATTCGATTGGACGTTTTGTGAGAGATTTGCTTTTTCCATCGATGATATATCTCCATGAGTCTACAACACTACACACGTTGATTCCTTAGACCAGCCGTTGGAGAAACCTTCTAGGTAGAGCTAGAAGTTAATTAGTACTTGGTAATCGACAGGGATGGTGGAAATTTTTAATGCAAAGCCAAGTGAAAGAAAAGGATCGTAGGACCTACTCACATTGCAGTTATGGTTCCCACTTCACCAGCTAGGTTCTGGATCTGAGATTCCTGAAGCCCTTGGACCATATCGAATTAAAACGATTCTTTCATTGACAGTCCTGCATGCATATGTCTGTTTTCTCTCTCCCCAAGTCTCTTTCACTTTTAACGTTTTTAGATTTTTCTGTAATTTCATTTGAAATTTTAGATCAGTTATATTCCTCTAGTGAAAACGAAATTGGTTTAGAACTCAAGGTATATACAAGTGTGAACTGTTCTATCTTATGTGTTCGAGTCAATGGTAACAGCCAAAGTTTGGTACACTTTATACATGCTGGTCCTGCAAAATAGGTTCGAACATGCTACAGAAAGCAACAGAAAATCAAAGAATTAGAAAAAGAACAAACTGATTACGAACTCATAATGTTATTCCAAATCGACTACATAACGTGAAAAGAATACTCCTTATCAAACTTAATTCTACTGAGTTACAACATGATATAAAAACCTAGTGCATTTTTAGTTACAAGGAATAGGAATTGAATGCATTTTCGTTCCTTAGTTTCTAGCGTTTACAAAAAAATAAGTATGAGAATCATTTAACTTCTTAACTTTAATTTCATATGTTTACTAACACATGTGAATCAGAAAAAGTGTATGTTTTCTTTTGAAATCCGTAGTCAAATACCTAAAAATTGATTTCTCCTAGTTGATTTGATTCTCTTTCCTTACTTCCCCTATTTTTAAGTTCTCCCGTTCCTTCCTTGTCTCATTTCTTTTAAGTGAGCATGCCCATAATTCAGAAATAAACAGGAAAGCAACCTAATCAAAATAGAAAATATGAAAGGACCATAATCCTTATCTCACTAGAAAACATTAAGACAAAATATCAAAAGCTCTAACAAACATGCTTAAAAATAAGCCAAGTGGCTAACTAGTCAATTTTCCCAAATTAAATATTTCTACAATTTTGAAGCATTGGTTTCATATATGCGTTTGTGTGTTGGATAATATACAAAACTAAGCACAGGGACCATGCGTGTATGATGAGTTGATTACACGATCTTAAAAAATTATACAATTTTGAAGCATTGCTCCTGCTTTAGTGTAATGCGGTACTCACAACACAATTGGAACATTTAGACCATGACTTTTGTATTTTTTTAATAATTAGAAGGTTCCTGCCAGATTTATTTTATTTAACATATGCATAAGCTACTAATTTGAATATCTCATCTGTGTTAAAGTATGAACGTGCTCTCTTCTTTTATTTGTTTTTGAGTTTTGAAAAGGTTGGATGGATCTTTCAATATTTCGTAAGATAATTTAATATACAATGATATAGTGGGAGAGAAGGGCATGGCCCGACCTGAGTATCTGTCCTTAATTTTCTACCTACTCTCTTGAATGACAATCACCTACATCATCATGCTTTTTTTTCATCACCTTTACAATTTCCAAATAATTCTCTCTCTCTCTCTCTCTCTCTCTCTCTCTCTCTCTCTCTCACACACACATATGGTATCAGTCAGGAGCAAACCCTAGCGAGCGGGGATGAGCTGATTATATATGCATGTATGGTATAATCATTTCAATTTTCTTTGCCTAATTGATTGGATATACAGAGAAAGTATATGGATCTAATAGGAAGCATGCATGTAGAATTAAATCTAGTGTGTGTATATAGCAACAATTAAAGAATATACCAATTAAAGAATATATATAGCAACAATTAAAAGAAAAATTAGCGCTTAAATCATTCAGAGGTTTCTAATAAAACCCAGAGAGAAACAGATGAGACTAGGAATCAAAGAAGGAAGGGGGATAATTTAGATCAACAACATACCATGAATAGATGATGTTGAGTTGAACGGATAGATGGAGAGAGATGCAAGAGGAGATATTGACGCGGCTCAATCAGAATCGCATGGTTAAGTCTCCAATATCAGCCACACGTTCAAATTGAGGCGCGTCAATACCTTCGTTATGAATTCACAACTTTCTCCATCAAAACCTGAAATTGAACCAGACTTTTGCCTCTTTCTTCCTCGGTAACTGCTGAAAAACCCAACTGCAGCTCTCTCTCTCTCTCTCAAAAGATGCTTTTATAGACAAAAATCAGTTTGATGCATTTATCTCCTTTCTTCTATTTTGACTTATTAGCTAGCTTTTGGCATCTCGCCCACATCACCTGCTGCCTAAAGGGAAGCAAAAGCCGAAGGCTCATAAAACCCACTTGTTCCAACTCGAAACGATTTTTTGTGTTTATGTACGTATGCCAATTTGGCCATATTTTGACTCATACATATCCCGAATTTTTATTCTGCTTATCCCTTAACTAGTCAGGGACTCCACGTAGGGCTATTCATTGTTTGTTCTCAAATAGGAGAGATTCTTGCATATAACCGAAATATAATTTGTCAAGTAAATATGGCACTCATTTAGGTGATGAGTGCTATATTCACAAGAGATATACTCTCAATTACAGCTAAGTATTAGATGTCAAGTAGGAAAAATACTTTCTTGCAAGTGTGTTTGGAAGTACTTTTAAAATAATTGAAAACATTTTTTTGATGAAAGTGATTTATGCAAATGAATCTTGAAAAAACACTTGAAGTGCTTCCAGCTGGTAGAAGCATATAATTGGTGCTTCTTCCAGAATGCACTTCAAGTCCTTATAGAATCCAAGAACCCATTCACCAAAAACATTTTTGGTCATTTTAAAAGGACTTACAAACAAGTCAGCATCACACATTTGATGTAAAGGAGGAGAAAAACTTTCTTGCAACTAAGACATAGTCTAATGGCATCACATATTTGATAGATGTTGCTCCATGCTTAAAAAGTGTATTACCCATCCAATAAAATGTTTGTCACATAGTGTTCATGGTTACAAGAGAAAGAGAAACCATTGTCAAGTAGAGGGTAGTTTGAAGTTGCCCTTCTACCATTGATTCTGATTTTTCTTTTACTATTTATTTTTTGTTCTGGTTTTGGCCAAGAGGGAAGAGGGCTGGCCAAGTCTACTGATGCACTCGCCGTGGAATCCCAATTAAGCTGAAAAGAACTCTATGGGATGATCTAGAAGCATATATACAAATTGACGGGCAGAGATCCGGTGGGGATCTCTTCCCCAAATTAACCAATCAAAATGCAATTAAGAGATTATAATTATTGGAAAGGGATCATATCCGGATCCCTTTCCACCAAATCCACCTAATCTGGGATCCAGGCCGTTGGATTTTGATCTAATTATTACAATTACTTTTAAAAGGGTTCCTTGTTTATAGCTGTTTGATCAAATTTCAATGGCCCAGATCTCAAACTAGGTGGATTTGATGAAAAGGGATCTGCCTTCCATAATTATTTGTTAGCGACTACTCAAATATTGGACCAACTTTTCCAAGGACTTGGTTCCCACTTACCCAATTAAAGTCTTAAAGCTAAATCCAAGTATGTGATGATTTCTGGAGGTAGGTGAGTAGGTACAACCCCAATATATATATTATGGAAAATGTTGCCGGAGAGCACAAAATTCCATGCACTTAGCATCATTGTATCCAACTGGTTAGCTAGACAGCAACATGATCAAACTACCTAGATATATATATATATATATATATGGTTTGGTAATGCTGTTATAGAGAGCATACAGACATTGTTAGGGTAGTTTAAGCAGACTACGCAAATTAGGTTAATTAACTTTGTTCTGTATATATGTACCCAATTCAGCTTCTTGAGTTATTTGTTACAGCATATCTTGGGACAGATTAAACCAGTAAACTCCGATATTGTGTTCTTATCATGCAATCTAAGGAACTTATATGAGAATCAAAATAGAAAATAAGAAACCATTAGAAAGCATTAGAAAATTCTCAAAATTTAAGATTGAATAATATGAAGGATATGACCCTAACACCATTTAAAGTCTACCTCAACCCTAGACTTGCTAGGAATCCTAATAGAAAACAGAATACGATAATATCAAAATACCAAAATTATCATTAAAACTTATAATGGTGTTTTAACCTAGTAAACGTTGAAATTCGGATTAAAAAGGTCATATATGTCACCGCATAGAGAATTGCACTTGCCATGTCATTCTCTTTGAAACAACATCACATGACCCAAATTGGAGCTCGAATTTAAGACTTGTAATTTGCTGCCGCAGTGCACTTGTCCAAGCAAATCATTGATCTATTTGAAGAAAGTTGAGGCTTCACCATAAAACCAAATATGAGGAGTATTCTAATTACTTATAAACACATGTAAAATAATGAGGGTTTGTCAAGACTAGAGCAATTGAAGATACTAAGTCATGTTACGCAATTATATGCATTGCTACAGCCTTTGCTCTAGAAAGCCAATGCCGCCCAGCAAGCCAGGCAAGGGCCCAATTAGAGTTGTAGGTGTAGTTTCCACTTTCACTCTCGTGCACACCCTCAAACCCAAGGGGCTAACTCTGCATATAATATTCCTAAGGCACATGCCCTAAGGTTTTTCAGGTTCCTCAATACCTTTATTCCCTCTATTAGAAGTCCACATTACTAGGCTCGGCAAACTAAAATCTCAAAGAATTTGTTGATCGAGTGTACAAATTAACTACGGATCCGTTTTCAAGGGGGATTATTTATAAGAAGAAATTGGAATGTTTACTGATATTTGTACAGTTAATTAGTGATTAATTGATTTTCTACGGCAAATGTTGGTTGCAACCCAAGAAAATTCCAACTGAATACACCTCCCTAAGTTAGATACCCCGCGCTACAATGTGTCCCGATGGCAATCTCCCAAAAATAACTGAGCAAATCAATAACTTAACCAAATGTTTTAGGAGTTTACATCTGCTGATCTGCTGCATTTATGTACAGTGGGCGTTATGGCGCGTTGGAGTGGACTAAAACTGGACTACTTTTTTGGATTGCACGGCATAGATTGGACTGCTTTGGGGTTTGGTATGTGTCTTGGCAGTGAGAATGAAAGAATGAATGGTTAGTCTGACCCAAGGCCCATCTTCAAGGCCTCAATACTCTTAATTAGCATTTCAATATATAGCGTGCATTGACTATATACATGCACCATGGGGCATCAACTTCCGCAATACACAACCCAACTAGTTTTCGATTTGGTAGTACTTCTTTTTCGAATGCTAGAAGAGATGTCCTCTAAGACATTATTGCCCCAACATCGATTCACAAATCCATGTGACTAAGTTCGGCAAACTAAAGACCACACCCACGCACTTGTTAACTAACCAATATGGGTTTGCATTCATATTTTTTGGGCATGCCCGCTTGCAGTTTTGTCTCCCTTTTTTGATGTGATGTTTTCTTTTTTACCTAATTCTTTTCGATTTATTTTTTTTATTTTTTTATTTTTTGCAACTTGTCTTGCAAGTTCTTACATTTTGGGTTTTATTTTAGAGAGGTTTGATCCTATGTACCCCTATTTTTCTTGTATTCTATTTTTAATTTTTCAAGAGGGGTAAGATTTATGCCCCTCATTTTTGTTGTATTTTCTTTTTCAAGAGGGGTAAGGTTTATGTATCTCTCTTTAATTTCCTGTATTTTGTTTTTCTTGCATTTTGAAAGATAATGTTTATGTTCCCCGTAACTAAGTGTAAATTTTTTTTATATCAATAAAATTTCCTCTAAAAAACTAAAAAGAAAACCACCAAATTATGGGTATGTTTTGTGATGTGGGATTTACTAAATAAAAAGAAACAAAATTATGCATATGATGTGTCGTCTCAATCTTTGGTAGATTCTCCTCCACCCTTGTAGAGGTAATTACATCAGTGATTATTCCATCAATAGAAATTGAACTGAAAAGTGAAAAAAAAAAAAAAAAAAAAAAAGCAAAAGAAAGGAAGAAAAAGTCGAGTGCCTTTAGCTTTTGCCGTTGGGTGCCCATTCCATGATTGATGTGAGGCAGCAGCCTTCACAAAACACATGGCCAATTGGGTTTGTTCACATCCTCTCCAAAGCTCAAGTGGTGATTATATTTTTACCACTTTGAAGAGTTCTTAGATGTGCTCATGGATGGGAGCCATATAACTCATTTTTTACACATGAATGAAGACTAAGGATTTGATGGTTCCAATTATAAAATTTATACAGTAAAAAGATGTTATTTTCAAGAGATAGATCATGAGATGCGTAAATATTATCTATCGAGTTTTAAGTCTCAACAAAAAAAAATATTTCGAAAAAAAAAGGACAAATCCAACCAAAAAATGGGCTGAGAGAACCATGAGGGACATCCTCGAGCCACAAACAGCCATACATCCTAACCCTAATTCAGATTCTGTCAGAGCAATTCCACTGGAGTGGAATTTGCCCAAGACCCAGGAGAAAAACAGGGCCAGCACCCTGTCAACCAAGTCCACCCCTCAATTTGACTGGTACCCAGCCCGAGCTGGGCAAGAGCCCAGCCCAAAACACTGAGCAAGAAGAGCTGGGCAGTTTGCCTGGCGCGTGCGCTTCACGCAGGCGCTGCCGCGCGAGTAGGCCGACAGGGCTGTCAGCCCACTTGTGCTCCGGATCCCATCAGCGACGTGGCATGCTTATATCCGTTGGATTTCCAACGGCTAGTTTTTCTAGACCGTTGGATTTCCAATGGTAAAAAAAAATTAAATTTTACTTTTAAAATATACCGTTCGATCACAGATCAACGGTCCACGTTAATTAACTAATTAACATTTATTAAAACATACAGAAAAAATATTAAAAAATACATAAAATTTAAAAAAAAAATTTATTTATTTTTTCTATAAATACCTAACTCTCATCTTCTACCTTACACCACATTTCAATATTTTCTACACTTTCTACCAAAGCTTTCATATACTTTTTGTGTGAAAAAAAAAATACCAAAAAACTTGTGGTTGAAGAATAAAGTGTATTTGATGAGTTTATGTAATTTCATTTTAGTGTGTTTTTTTTTTATAGTTTATTTGATGAGTATGTAATTTTATTTTAGTGTGTATTTTTTTTTTAAGTTTATTTGAAATTTTATCTGAAATTGGTTAAAAATCTTATCCAAAATAAACTTAAAAAAAAAAAACACACCAAATAAATGCGCTGGGTACCAACGCATTTTTTTAGGGATGAAGATGCCTTGGCCTATTACTGTTCACTCCAGTCTATTACTGTTCATTTGAGTGGATAAATACGCTGGGTGCTGGCGGAAAGTCCTTAGGGGTGGAATTGCTCTCATGTGGCCTTGTCCTTTTTCTTGGAAATTTCTTTTTTAAACTAGTATATGCCAATATGACAGTGTCACAATCCTCTTGGAATGGAGACTATCCTTGTGGGCAGGTACAGTCTCTTGCAAAAGAATGAAGGGTCCCAGTTTAAAAAAAAAAGGAGAAAAAAAAAGAATGAAGGGTCCCAGTTTAAAAAAAAAGAAAAGAAGGGTCCCATATACAAACCCTTTCCTTCCTTTTTGAATAGAAAAGTTTAACAATTATAATGGGAATCAAATCTTCATATTCCTCACATGTACGGCAATAACTTTGCATATAGCTCAAGTTTTTAAACCTATTCTCGCGATGTCTCAAGAGTATTGTTCTCAAATTCTCACATTTTAATATTATCAGAATAACGCAATACAATGACTTTTAATTAAAGTAGTTAAAATTATTTGTTTACATGTTTGAGAATATATTTTTGATTATTTGACAAGTGCGTCATCTAAATACAATTAAATTACGTCATTTAAATACAATTAAATTACGTAGTAAGTAAGTGATGTTGATCATCTGATACATTATATGATCTTTTTGTTATTATATATGTTAGTAATCATGCATACGTGCTATGCTTATATTATATATATATATATATATATATATATATATATATATATATTAAGACATAATTTTCATTCTTCACAAGAGGTTGACAGAAATTATACTCTTAAATTATAGTATAGGTAAGGGGGTCCTGAAACATTATAAGGAACATCAGCGTGTCCATAAATATTCCTTATGCTCATGTGTAAAGTAGTGAGAGCTAAAGGTCAAGCTCCATTCAGGCTAGGTTCAATGAATCTGAAAACATAACCTACTTTTTTTTGTGCTGATACTATTTAAACCTTGTTCATGGTCAGATAAGCCATCACAAAAGCAGAGAGGGTTTAATATCATAGTCATGGTACATATGATCATGGCCTTTGCTGAAGCTTCTCGCTCTCAAACTGCTGCTGCTTGTAACTTCCTCTCCTTCTTTTTCTTCAACCTCTTTCCTTGAGCTCCATGGTAGGTCTCCTCTCTTCTCTCTCTCTCTCTCTCTCTCTACACACACACACACATGTGTGATTTACATATTGGTTTTTGTCCGTTAGGCGTCAGTGCACAATCTATATATCTGGATTTTTGTTATTTTCTCTTGTGTTTTATTTGGTCTCGTATTCGGATTGCTCCAATGGAGGAGGAGAATTTTGAACAACCAATCAGGGGAATGTTACTTTGATTAGAAAAATAGTGTTTTCTTAGTTTTGTTATATAAATATTATTGGAGGACATTGATCATTAAGGGTTCTGAAAATCATTCTTCGTATTTTCTTGAAACAAAACTCAATTATAGTTGAAGAAAGTTAAGCTTCATTATAAAAATCAATTGGCACGGAAAGTAGTCCAATTACTTATATGTATGTGCAAGGTTCATTATTTCCCTGATGTGGGATTGATGCTCTCAACATGCTCCTTTCCGTGTTGTGAATTTTCAAGCCTAACACGTAGACAACACAAATTGATTGATATGGATCACGTGTGGCCGATGGGCTTCACACGCCGCACAACCTGCTGTATTACCATGTAGAAGTTAAGGTTCCACCCAATTATTTATAAGTACATATAAGATCTCTTCTTTTCCTGACGTGGAATTGATACTCTGAACAATAGTCTAATTCCGGTTATAAGATTTAATAATACACATATATAATATTTGTTCCTTTTCGCCATTCATTGTATAGTATGTATAAGATACATTGTTCCAAAGGCTCGTAGAAATTTGACTATGTGATTACTATGCATATCTGGTTTGTTCAGTGGAGCTGAGGATGTCACAGTGTGATTGAATTTGCACAGAATGGTTGGCCCGTTCGATATATCAAACCCGATTTCTGGTAGCAGAGTTCTTGTTGACGAGGGCTTGAATGTGGCTTCATTTCAAGGCTTGGATGGTGTAATTGGCAGCTTACTGATGAAATGGAACCGGCAAATAGCAATCATGGGCTGCCAAGAAATACTGCACCAATATTATTGGAAATGCCTTCGAGTTCAAGCCATGGAGGTGGCCGCAGTTACTTTGCATTTTCCTCAAGAATTTCTGTCGACTGCAGAATTCAAGCCATGCAATATTATTGTGCCACTACTCCTGTTCTGTCATGATGAAAGAGAAGGGACGTGGTGGCCGGAGGAGGTAAATAAGGCCACAGAGTGTGGGCTAAAGATAGGAGACGTCGAAGTCAAACAAAAGTCAAAGCTCCCCCAATTCAATGAGAGTTTTCTCAAGCTAGAGAGCCTATCTGCACCTTGGCTTGTTTTTCCCTTCACTCTTTGGTACCACATTTGCCAGGTAAGATAGTTCTTGCCCAATTCTAATATTACAGCGTAGTTTAAGTACCGCATTCGTGCGCATATAGTCAAGCGCTCTAAAATAATGTACTCCCTCAACTGCACCCAAATTTAAATTAATTTATCCCCAGTTTAGATTAGATTAAATAGAATACCGCTGGAATAAAAACACCATAGTTTAAGTAGTTAATAATTTGGATTTTTTCCATGGATTAATTAATTATTTGGCGTTCTATTTTGTTAATAAAATAGGCTTTGGAAGAATCACGTGTTGAATTGGATGAAGGGCAGATGGTAAGCACTCATGATCGGGCAAGTTCAAGCCAGATGGTTACACCCCTTCCTCCAAAAAGGTCCACGCTGATGACGATGATCTGTTCTTTTTGTTGATGATGATTGACGGTCATGATCAATGCCACATGGATCTTCTGGTATGGAACACTAGGATCTCTCCAACTCCCGGGAGTTTCTAGATTGTTCTACTGAAGAGTTCCCCTTTAAGCAACTTCAAGTCTTTTCTGTTCATGTGTAATAGTGCACTTGATCAGTCTGCCCCTTTTATTTTTCCTAAACTTTGATAAAACAATGGTGGCAGTCCTGGTTTGTAGTTTTCCATTTTATTTGCTTTTGTGAACGACAATAATCTGTTTGATTTTATGCTTTAATTTGCAGATTTTGTATTTCCTATAATTTCCAATATTTAATGAAGCGAGCTAGATGGTTTTCCTTTTGAGTTCTGAACTTCCTAACTTTTTGTATGTTAAACTATATAAAATTTAGGGTGTTAAAAGTTCAACTGATGAACATTTGGGAGTTCAACTTTGTGTAATGTTTAGCCTAAGTTTGGTTCGTGGGAAAACGGGCTTTGAGAATGAGAAATCACTTTGGTTAGTCCATGCTCGGCAGCCCGGAAATAAGTTTCATGTCATATAGGTGTTTCCCTCTTTTCGGAAATTTGGGTACAAACAACAGGGAAGGCGGAAAATGAAACCCTCCATTCTACTTCTGTCGATGAGATTGAAGGGAAGCATGCTGCAGCATTGTATTTGTACCACAAATCCTTTTAAATTTATTAATGCCATGAATCAAATTCTGTATGTCTGTAGAGGATTTATCAATCAGAAACGTTTCTGATGTGTAGTTTGGTTCAATAGGCCCAAAAACGACGCAAAGGGATGCAAAGCGAAGGGATCCCGAATCGCTTCTTCTGAAGGAAATCCAGAAGAAATTCAAGTTGATCATGCATAATTCTGTGCTTCCATTCTTATAGAAACTCTTTGATTTGGAGGTTAAATGTGTATAACTCTGTTTTCTTTCTTTTAAGTGGGAGTTGATGGCTTTTTGAGTTCTGCAGTGTTTCTTTCTAGACAAGTTGCAGATATGGAGAAATTTTATGAAATAAAAAGAGGAGAAAGGAAAAGGGATTGTTTCTTTCCTGATGCCTTCAAATAAAAGGGAAGTGTTTTTGTTTACAACTCTTCTAAACACAAAGGTGAAATACACGAGATCTTTTGACCATTTTAGCCAATTGCCTATTTATTAATGTCGTGAATCAAATGTTTTGTCTTTGTGGTTTCTATTAGTCTTTGAGTTCTAGTTTCTGATGATATAGTTGGGAATTAGTGAAAGATTTGCTTGTGCTCATTCCGTTTGAAATGCAGATGACCAAAAAAGCAATGCTGAAATCACGACCAATTTGACGAGAGATTTTTCAGTGTCATCACACGAGGTGATACACCACGTGTCCCTATATAAATAGTGAGTTATGTGTGTTAAAATGTTAATAACTTAAAAATTAAAATTTTCCACCACTTGCATAAAAACACGTGGTGTACCATCTGTGTTCCCATCACAACTAAAAATTTCTCCAATTTGACTGCCTTCATAATCATTAAAGCCCAAAACCTGAGTCTTAAAATTCACAATTTTAAATCATTCATTCATAGGAGAAAGGGAAGAGAATCACAAACAGCAAGCCAGCTATCTTGCTATTGAATCGAATATATGCATTAACCTAAAGTTCTTTTCTTCTTCAAGCTTTCTTTTCCTTTGGTACCGGTGGGGGAAACAAAACCCTAAAAGCCGAAGCTGCTACAGTTGCTCCAACAAAGGGGCCAATCCAATAAACCAAGAAAAGCTCCCAACTGTTGTGCCAATTGTTCACATAAGCCCACCCAAAAGCATTGGCCGGGTTCATGGAAGGCCCCGTGTACCCATTTCCGGCAACCACCAATCCGAGCGTCGTGACCGAAATCATCCATATGTTCACAATTGGATTTCTAGGCCCTCTCATTATAATCACAAGCAAGGCAAAGCAAAGAACACAAGTCATCACCCCCTCAGCTATAACACCAGTATACAAATCCACTTTCAAAGAAGGCCCTTTAAGCATGTGCTTGTACTTTTTTGGCATCACCTGCAAAATTGCCTTGGCACCGCCTACTCCGCCCGCCGCCTGAGCCGGGAACCGAACAGCCATGGAGAGGAGGGAAGTTCCGGGATTGAGGCCGGCGGTGTAGAAACTGACGGTGGTGGAGGGGTTGAAACTGGCACCGCCCAACAACTTGCCAATCAAGCTGAATATTAAAACCACAAGTGTCGAAATTATTGTGGTGATGAAAAGACCTACCAAAGACCTAGCTTGGATACCAAGAAACGAAGCAATGATGGATGTGAAAACCCCCATGCTGGGTGCACTGAACACCCACATAGATGTCAAAATTGCATCTCCTGCAGCTGCCTTGATCACCCCCATCTTATCTTTCTTTTGCTCCACTGATTTTTCTCTGTTGAATCTGTTTTGTTTTTTACCTGTATATATTGGTGGTGTGTTCCACCGATGCGGGAGAACAACATGTGAACTATAAATGTCAGCCGTCGATTAAACCTAACAAAGCACTTACGTTTAAATCAGATTGATTGGATTGGTAGAGCCTAGTTAGACAGCACTTGTGGGCATCTTACACCAACCACTTGCCTACTTACCAAAATTATTGGAATACACGAGCACAACGTTAACGTTTTTAAATTAAGGGTGAGGTGGTTTAGACAGCATATAAATAATTGACCCAAATGTTTGGATGTTGACAGAATTGTGGACGTATGCAGAGAAAAAGAATATGAATCTTTGATGAAACTGTGCAACCTTAGGAAAATGTGAAGGGAATCTTTCCTCTTTATGGGATTAAAAAAATTAAGATACGTGATTAGATTTAAATCGCAGCTTAGCCGAATTAACTAGAGTAATATATACACTTTTTCTACAGTCAAGTACAGAAAGTCTTTTACGTAATTCACTTTGATTTAATAAGGATTATCGATTGATAATTAATATGAAAAGAATACTTGCTACAGTGACGATAGTGATGCTATGATGCTCTTGGATGCCTGGTAAAATAAGTGAACCCATTTGTGGAGCAAAAAATATTCACTAGGCGACACGTGGATTTTTTGAACAAAAGAGGACAAAAATACCCTTGAGGCATACCGGGATTCCTACGCGCAAGTAGTGGATAATCATCCTCAACTAATTCAAAAATGCTCCATAAGAGGTAACCAATTCCAAATTATCTTATTTTAGGTAATTATTTCCAAAACTTAATTTCCCTAATATATTATTTAGTTAATTAATTATCTAAATAATATATTCTTCCCATATCTCCTAAAATCATCCCTTAAATATCAATTTGAAACATCCATTCAAACCTAAAAAATAGTATAGGGCCGGCTATCCTTTTCAAAACCTAATACATCACCCTTTTTTCTACCTTTTCCATCATTTCTTCCCTTTTATTAACCAATCAATACCATAAAGCACTAAAACATTTCCTTTCATATTTAATTAGCCAATTAATTGGCTAATTAAACCTAAAATAAAACCTAAAAATCCCATAGTAGCCGGCCATATTCCCTCCCATCTTTTCCCTACCTTTTTTTTTTTCCTCCACTTTATTACTCAAATAAAGCTAATCATTTAAGACCCCATTCATTTCTATTTTATTAGCCAATAAAGGGGCTAATAAAAACCACAAATTCACTAAGAAAAGGAAAGGGTGTGGCCGGCCCTTCCTTGGTGAAAATGGGGAAGCCTAATCCTATAAATAGGCTCCTATTCTCACCAAAAATTCATTCCAAACCTCTTGCAAAAATTCCAAAAACACTCTAAACACTATTTCTCTCTAAATTTCTAACTTTGGCATCGGAGGTTCTTCGGCCAAAAGCCCCCCCCATTCATCGTGGGCGCGTGAGGCTTTTGGCCTTAACCTAAGGTGCTAGTTGTTTTGTAGGTGCAAAATCGTCCAAGATCGAAGAGGTGAAAATTTGCATCCACAAATTGGTGCTTTCATTGAGAGTTGTAATCCATACTCGTAGAAGACTCTCGTACAAAAAGGTTTTTTCTTTATTTTCTAGTCTATTTGAATATTTTTCATACGTTCTTATTATTAGAATTTTCTACTTGCAAAGGTTCTTTGATAAAACGTATAAGAAAAATATAATGACTAGAAATTTAGAAAATTCCGCAAGTAAAAATTCTAGTATTCAAGAAATGGGACTACGGAGATCCATGAGGCAAAATGCGACAAGAAGGGGAGCGGCATCATCACCACGAGCTTCCACCATGGGAACCACCGTGATGGCTACCTCGGTAGCCACCCGCGGCGAGGTCCATGGTGCCTTCACCACGGCCGCCATGGGAACCACCACGGTGGCTACTTCGGTAGCCACTCGTGGCGAGGTCCATGGAGCCTTCACCACGGCCCGAGTCGTGCCATCCAAGTTTACGTGGACCAAAGCCCAAGCATCGCATTCACATGCACCGCGCATTGAGCAGCCTGCTCCCGTGATCCAGCCTGCTCTTGTAGCCCAGCCTGCTCCAACGATCCAGCCTACCCCAGTGATCCAACCTGCCCCCGCAGCCTAGCCTGTTTTCATGGTTTCCCAAGCTGCCCAAGTCCGCCCGAGACAATCTCAACCATCCGGACCAATCATCGAGGCTGAGGCGTTTTCACCACATTTCTCTGCAGATTTGACATTCCCCAACTCAAATCTCGCACTTGGAGTCAACCACCCTTTCATTGTTCAAGGAGGTGCATTCCATCCAAGTTCTTCCAATCCGAATGGTGAACAAAACTTGTCCCGACAAGTCATAGAATTGACGAGCGCCCTTGCACAACAAACCACCTTGGTGAATCAACTTTTACAACGCACTGAGATGCATCGCGCTCACGATGAAGTTTCCCGGAGTAGAACAAGGGTAGACAAGGAGCCTTTTAAACAGCGTCCTGGAAAGCAGCCATTCAACCCATCACAAGTGGAGCATTCAGACAATGCACACTCTCGATTGGGCCCCCGAAATAGCGTATACTCCCGTCTTAGCGCGCGGAGGAGCGTGCACTCTCGGTTAGGCCCACGAGCAAGTATACATTCACGGTTGGGGCCACGCTTTGATAATCAACATGGGCAACCTTCCAGGCAAAGCATTCATTCGCGATTAGGCTCACAAGGAGTATCCTCCACATCACATCGGAGCAGGCAGCCTGACAAACGGAAGGAAACGATCGTTCAATCTGGCTTTAGTTCAACCGGTAGCCTGCAAAGAAATCCCTCGCCTGCTAGGAATCTATCTCATCCATTGCAGCCACAGCGTAGACGAGCCGAGCGAGAAGAAGAGCAGCCTAGACCGGTAGAAAAAGACCAAGGGCAGCCAAAAGCTCCGCTACCCCAACAAAAGCAAATCCAAGAAGAGGTAGAAAGGCTTTTCAATGAACGGATGCGTGATTTTCGGCGCAACGAAATGGTTGATGAGGCACTAAGGCGAGATATGACCAACATGAGCAGGTCACCTTTCGCGGATGAGATCGAGCAGGCAGAGCCTCCGCGCAAGTTTAGCATGCCACACTTCACATCTTTCAAAGGAGATGGGGATCCCGAAAGACACTTGAAGCATTACCGAAATGCGATGGTCCTTTATCGGAATAATGACGCCCTTATGTGCAAAATATTCGCCACTACTTTACAAGGCGAGGCACAAGATTGGTTTCATACCTTGCCGGCACGATCCATCCAGAATTTTGATGATCTTTCCTTGGTCTTCACCAAAGAATACTCATCTTATCGATCGATCAAGAAGAAGTCCGATCACCTGTTCAACGTAAAGAAAAACCCAAAAGAGTCGCTTCGCGATTACGTGAAGAGATTCAAAGCAGAGAAGGCGAAGATCGTCGGATGCGACAACTCGATAGCAAGTGCAGCCTTCCAAAAAGGACTACCAGCAGACCACCCACTGTTTGGAGAAATGATCATGAAAGAAGACCTAACTCTAGCAGATTCCTTTGCTCTGGCAGAAAAGCATGCGCTTTGGGACGAGGCTCGACAAGCAGAAAAGGCTCCCGAACAACCTCGAAAAGAGTTGGCAACTGCTCAAAAGAAGGATGAAAAACAACCCAACAAGGGCAGGCAGGAGTTCAAGCGCAGGGACCGACCCACGACCAAAGAAGGCCCGATGACCAACAACTATTCTAAGTTCTCAATTCCGATTCATCAAATCCTTCAAGACGTCAAGAATGAACCATGGTTCAAGTTGCCGAGGCAGTCAAAAGGAGATACTTCCAAGTTGGACCATACTAAGTACTGCGCATTCCACCGAGGTCCCGGTCACACAACCAACGATTGCTACACTTGGAAGAACTACCTAGAGAAACTCGTGAAAGAAGGCAAAGTCGATAGATATTTGGACAAGCCAGCTGAGCAGCCAAAAAGGAATGCAGACGGAGATGAGGAGCCACCAACTAAGACGATTCGAATCAATGGCATTTTCGCTGAGTCCGAGCACTTAGGGGCTACTAATAACTCCAAAAAGAGGAAGATCCAGCAGGCTTTACTAATCTCACAAGTTCATGCAGTCGATACCCAACCTGGACCTATCATTGGCTTCACAGAGCAGGATGCAGAAGGAGTCGACTTCCCACACGACGATGCATTAGTAGTATCTGTCCAACTAGCCCATGCTATAGTCGACAGGATGATGGTTGACAATGGAAGTGCGGTCAACCTACTTCAACTTTCAGTCATTCAGAAGATGGGCCTGGAAAGTACAATCATACGCCGGGCAGAGGTACTTACTGGATTCAACGGACACACCTCAACTGCCATCGGTCATATCATACTTGACGTAAAAACACCGCCAGTCGTCTCAAAGCAAACATTCACGATTGTAAGCGACCCATCTCCCTACAATGGGATTCTTGGGAGACCTTGGTTGATCAAGCTGGATGCTGTCACTTCCGTTAAGTATCAAAAAATCCGATTCCGCATCCCGGGAGGAGGAGTCGGAGAGATCAAGTCTGACCAGGCTTCATCCCGACGATGCACTGTGCAAATGTTAAAAGAAACAAAGAAGAAGACCTTTACCCCCGTAAAGGTTACCGAAGTCCAAAAGGGTAAAGAAATTGCCAAATAGCAATTACAGCAGGTGGATCGAGAAGATGGCGCCCAAGCAGACAAGATAGGATGGAAACCCGAAGAGGACGCCGAGGACATCATTCTTGATCCCCAGCAGCCGGAAAAGACGGCTAAAATTGGCTCACGATTAAGCCCAGACGAGAAGGAAGAACTCACAATTTTCCTTAGGAAAAACCGAGATATCTTCGCATGGTCACCATCCGACATGCCTGGTATTGATCCCAAAGTGGCCTGCCACAAGCTGCACGTCGATCCAACTGCCAAACCGGTAATTCAAAAAGAAGACATTTCACTCCCGAACGAGTAGCGATCATCGAGGCAGAAATCGACAAACTATTGGAGGCCGGTTTCATAGAAGAGGTAG